TGGAAGGCCTGGCCCTCCGTACGTAGTGCTACTGCCCGACACATACCCATAGAGTGCCAAGGTCCTGGTGTCACTATCAGGCACAAGCGTTTGATCCTCCCAACGGTGGGCCACAAGATAAGAGTGATTCTGACGCCACGATAAAGGAGCGAATTTCTGGATAGCGATGAACCTGAGGTTGTAGGAGAACTCAGCTGCAGCGTGACGATGAAAGACCTGCCTCGCCAAGTTGGTGACTTCCGTCTTGTTATAACGCGTCCCACTATATTGGATACCACTCAAATAGAACATCTTAGCACCATCGTAGAGCTCCGCCCAAAACCTAGCCTTGTACCGTTTCTTCATCTTGCGAATACCTGATACCGAAGGTGCTGCACGCCACGATGGAGAGGGAGAAATGTACTCTTGGATTCTTTGAACCCATCCAAGTGAGTAAGGATGCCGAGTATACGTGGAAAGCCATGGACCTTCGAGAAAACGCCAGAAACAGAGGATGAGGAGTTCGCCTTACCTGCATGATGTTGATGAATTCAAAGGTCTCCATTTCGAACCCCCTCACGGCGTCTACCATGAGTAAAACCTGAGAACTCAGCGTCCCGATGGGAAGGGAGGGGGCGGGGCGATCTACCAAGTCAGCCACTTTCGCTAAGTCAATCATGGCTCGCATGTCATTAGCCGGGCACTCTATGAACGTCAAACGGCGGTTACGGCCAGATACCACGGTGATTGGGCCTGCGAGGATGATCCTTATCAGTGACAAGGACCCTCGGCTGACTACCCTCGATAGTTGCCCCCAGCGTTGTCTTAGTATAGTGTTTCACCAGACTTCGAATAAGCGTCGTCTTACCGCACCCTGGTGGGCCTTGTACTACCACAACATACCTGAAGTGACGCCACCAACTGCCATACCACACGGATCCCTGTTCCCGGCTTTTACGGTGGAGCCTCCACTCCTTCGGGGCGCTTATCCATCTTCTCAATTTTCTCTCTCTTGGCTTTCACATCCAATCCTCTCTGCACACGACGCTGGACACTATGAATGCCACCAGAGAAGGTGAAGGCTTTCGGGTTGTGGCGTTCAACATTCGTCTTCTCTCTCTTCTTTTTTGCCTTCCC